CATTGCCGAACTGTCACTCACTTTATTTTCTGAAATGGAGTCTATGAATGTGAAACCCAACACCTTTTCTTTCAACCAACTTATGAGTGTCTTGCTGAAGTGCGGTGACGACAGGATATTTGGTGTCTATCGCACCATGCGTGAACGGTACAAGGTCCAAAAAGAGGAAATTGAAGTGCAGATCAAGCGCGAAGCAAAGAAGAAGCGAGCGATAAGGATGCGGACCAGTGAAGAACCAGAAATTCTACAGGAGGGCGTAATGGATAGTTGCAGCACAAGTCCCACGGAGGCCCCATTAACGCTCGAGGAGATGATGGGTATGGAGGACGTGAAGAAGCCTGCACGCATTGCGGCACGTCAAATCCGACCTAACCTTGATACTTACCGCATTATTCTTTGTGCTTGTCTCCAAATGGATTTGGCATCAAGATATAACGTCTTTTACGACAAGATGCGAGCGGAGGGTCTTGTGCCTGACCACGATATGGCTATTCTCATGGAATCGATTTGTGAAGCCAACGGAGACAAGGCACTGGCGCTTCAAATACTTGAGGAGGCGAAAAGGAATGGTGTGGTGATTGATGTGACATTGTTCAATGGCTATCTAAATGTCCTTGCCTCACTGGGAGATGCGGAATTAGTAGGCATTGTGGAAGTGATGCAACTTGGCATTATCTCGTTTAATGTGCGCCCCGATGTAGAAACATACAACACAATGCTCCGTGGCTATCTTTGCATGAATAAATATGACGAGGTGGAAAAATTATTTTCTTCCATGTATTTATCGTACTCTCAGGTGACATGTAACGCAGAGACTTTTTGCTGGGTGCTGCGGGCGTACCGCGAGAAGCGTGACACAGAAGCAGCCACACAATTGCTGGAATCAATGCGACGGCGCAATATTTCTATCACGATTCAACATTACCATGAATTAATGCGGGTATACTTGGAGGCGGATGATCCACGCGTTGAAGATGTCTTTTGGTCGCTTAGAAATTCCAGGGATAAATCGCAGCCGGGGGCTGATGCCGAATGTTTTTTTCTTTTGCTGAAGCACTACTTACGACAAGAAAAATATGTGGAACTTGAGAGGCTTTTTACAGAATTAAGAGCAGATTTAGACGTGGAAGCGGATGCTGGATGTTATAGCGTTATGCTGGAGATGTTTTTTGTCCAAAAGAGAGTTACGGAAGCCAGAGCGCTCTTTACGGATATTCGCATGAAGTGTGTTCCGCCGTCGACAAGAATATACAATGCGCTTTTGCGAATCTTTGTATCCGAAGGCGATGCAGCCATGTATGACGTTCTGGATGACATGAAGACGAACCACATTGCGCCAGCGGCCAATACTCTTGGTATTCTATTGGAGTATGCTGAAGGTAGGCGTCTTGTTTCGACAGCCGTTGAGCAAAAGATATTTTGGAACCCTGCAGAATTATTGGTAGGGCTTTGAATGGCTTGAGGAGGGAATAAAAGGCTCATGTAGACTGCAAAGATGAATGCTTATATATCTTTGTTTCTTTTTTTTTTTTTTATTAGACCGCTCGTGAAGTTTGTATTTGTTTTTTTTTTACATTTTTTTTTTGTCTTTTTTCTCCTTTTTGTTTTTTTGTTGAAGCACGTGGTGGGTGGAAGGGCAATACACGGATTTTGTTAACAAAATGCTTCGGCGATCGGGGCCATCGTTTCGTCGCCGTACGGTGACGGAGAAGGCGGTGCAGACGGAGGTCTCGTTCCCTTTTGAGTGCGTAGACACCAACAAGCACTACGAAGAACTTGCCAGCGAACAATTCCAGGACCTCTGCAGACTGCGCGATTTGATTCGGGAGGCGATGAAGGAGGTTGCATGCTCTGTGTACGACGTTGTTGCCTTCAAAGATATCCTCTTCAAGATTGAGGATGAGCTGCCCTCCAAATTGCCAGTGACGGATATTTTGTTGCTGTCATCGAAATTGTTTCGTCGCACGTCGGGATTGGGCCATTTGCTTGCGTGCCTCTTTGCGGTGATGTTTGCAGAGGAGCACGCGGACGAAAATTTCCACTTCACGGAGATTCGAGTTTTGCGTCGCGAACTGCTAGATGTCAAGCAGCAGTTTGCCCGGGCGGAAAAGGAACGGGCGCGACTGCAGCACATGCTTGACGATGTTGGTAGAGTCGCCATGAATCATAGCCGTGCCGTGGAATTACTGGAGACGCGAAATACGGCACTGCAAATGCAAACAAGCGGGTTAGAGGATCAGATGGCGTTGCTTTTCTCACAGGTCAATAGAGACTTACATCGCCAGTGCAAGGACGCCTACGAAAAGGTCACGAATGAAATTGATTCGCAGGATCGTATGGGCCTGACCCGGGTAACATTTCGCCAGACGATGGATTCCCTTAGTGATCAGCTACGACATTCCCGGAGCCTTATCAACGATGTGAGGGAGCTTGTCATGAGCTGTGCGCAGGGTAGTTCGGGGGGTGGTAGGAATGTGGATGCGCAGATATCGAAGGAACCGAGTATCCGCTTTAAGCTGAAGCAGGTAGAAAATAATTTCCAACAGCTCGTAGGCCGTTTTTCTTCCGTGAAGGGTGTGGTGGCGGAAACAGCTCAAGAGCTCATGAATGCGTTACAAGAACGTAAAAATATTCTCTACCTCTCGCTGCAACACATTCGACTGTATGACATTCAAAATTCGAGGATGCGTCAGAGCAAAGCCATCGTTGTGACAATGAGGAAGAAAATGGAGGAACTTCTTAAGCGAATTTCCCTGACATTTCCCCCCGGTGCAGTCACCTTCGTTGATCGCATTGGTCGTATTTCCACCCAGCAATGGCAAGTGGGCCAGACGTTAGCGACACTCCGTCAGCAAAAGAATGCGGACCAACCAACTGAGGAAACGGCTTCAGATGTTGGTAAAGCAAAGAATTTTAGTCCTGGAATACTTTCATCAAATGAGGTGTGTACACTGCAAGAGGGCCAAAGAGGAAGTGAGCCGTTGGATGACGAGTTGTACGGTACGTCGGATGTCACCAAAATACCCTTTCAGACGGTTTATAACCTCGTGGATGTAATAAAGCAGGCGGGAGAACTCCATGGAGAGTCTGAACAACGTCTTGAACTTTGAGAGTGAAAATCACGCCTTTCTCAAACTCTCACACTATCGT